TTCATACATGGTTTACAACTTTAAAATTAAAGGCTTAACCGAAAGTTATCGTTCCCAGATCGCAAACATTATTTGTTTGCCCTCATAGCCCTACTGCGCAAAGAGCATCTCTCTCTTTTGTACACTGCCTCGAAGCCACGAAATAATAAGCATACAACTTTAACAAAATCTCCGAATCCACCCTGAATCATTTTCAATTTTTTTCCACCGCACTTTTTATAAATTCCAAAAGCAATCAAACCCATGATAGGCGGAAGAAAGGCAATTCATACACACTCAACAGAAAATATGTAACACTTGAGAAGATAACAGTGAAGTATCAATATTACTTATCGAATGAAATGCGTTCGAATGTCGTGTACTGATGTAAGGTTACGAAATTTGGAAAATAATAAATATGTGTTGTGCTTACCCTTTTTGGTTTAGTGTTTCTTATATTATTCAAGCGAATTGAAATTATGAGGCATGCTCAGTTTAATTTATATATCAACAACTTTTGAACAAGAGAGGCGTCAAATAGATTTACTCTGTACTTCCCACGCATTTCTGTCATAAATTAGATCATGTTTGGTTTGTTTCAAAACCCAACGTCGTATAACCAATGTTTAAAAGATCGACCCACAAAGTTCTATGGAACATATTGGTATTTTGAATAGCAGGAATACTAGTTGATCATAATGACTGTACATTGGTAGAGACCGAAAGGGTGAGTTTTTAGTGTGGGCTCAGTCGATAACTGCCTTATTACGCGTAGTATCTGAAAAAGTAATCACAAAAATTCTAGCGAAGAGTATGTTTCTCACTTGGAAAGTATTTTTACCTATACAGGGTGATTCATAACTACATGGTGGCCAAAACATAATTTTTTTTCAAATGGAAAGCCTTACATTTTATAGCAGATTTTGATAGATCCTTTTAAATGAAGCAATTTGACACACACACTATAGGATTTCATTTCCAAATTTCTAAAACACTCAACTTTGATATCTCGCACCGTCGCAACTGTTATTGCTACACTGAGAACATTTTTAATTAAAACAATTAAATTTTAAATTGGACCAATTAATAACTCAATTAACTATGTGACAGCTAACAAGTTTAATTGGTTTAACTAAACTCTGATTCCTAAAATGGTTTACTTGAATCTATGAAACCAGCCTAATTAAACCAAAACGCGATCGTTTATTAATTATTAATATTAATTTATTAAACCGTTTTCTTAGATTAATTAGGTAAACCAATTTATTTAAAATTAATGAACCATAAAAATGACTTTACCTGCTCCAAATAGAATAATTTAATTATATTTATGTAATTAGTTTGGATAAAAGTGTTTGCCTGGTTTTAATGAATTTTTTATTTATATTTAAAAGGATATTTGGATAATATTTGGAATTTAAAAACAAGCATTTTACGGAATGATGTATACTATAACTGTGCTCTAACAAATCTTGGATATCAAAAATTTTTGATAACTTGTGTACAAAAATTGTACTTTTATTTCTATAATCACAAAACAATATTACAATCACCCACATTCAACGCATTTACATAATTAAAACAATTCGACGGCACTTTAAACAAACTAGAATATTTTCAAATACTACAAAGTCTACAGCAACAGGAGGCTCCACTTCCTATATATATATATATATATATAGATTATACAATATAAAAGAAAAGCACATCAAGCACATGTTTTTTATAAATACCTTTAATTGACCTAAATATGACTGCATAAATAAAATTTCAAAGTTCTTCCCATTCCATCACGTCAGCAATGACTCCCCTATACATGTACGTATTGCATTTGGAGCGAGAAATATCCTAACCATGGTTATAGGTCACTAAGCGCCTTATGCTCCAGTATTTCACTTGACCACGTATTCTCAGTATAGATTATTGAATCATACCCCAAATTTTTATTATCCCATATTCTGTTCCTACTTTTTCTGTTCTTTGGACAATTCATACAGGGTAGTCAAGAGGGCAAAATGAGCGATTTTTTATAGGGGTTTGTACGACTGGTTTTTGAGTTACTTTTGTTCAATTAGATATCAAGGTAAATGAAAAAATTGTAATACAATACGTTTAAAATAGCATTTAGTTGGTAACGGTGTATCGTTAGAATTGGTACATTTTCATTATAAACTAAATCTAGGTAGTATTACGCAATAAAGTCGAAAAGTCAAGACTGCGTCCCTGTTTTCAGTAACTCAAAATTCACTAGTACAAATTCCGATAAACCTTACACCAGAAAAAAAACTTCGTGGATACACTCTATAAACTATCAAAAAAAAAACTGGAAAAGACAGAAGATAAGGCTAAACATGGGATCGCAGAATTTTTGTGACGAAAATTCAGAGCTCTAGCTATAAAATTTGCAAGTTGAGTGCTCTTTTCAATAGGTTGACAAATATCTGAACAATTTGAAGATAAAATCCTATATGTTACATAAAATTGCTTCGTTTGAAAGGTCCTGTTCAAATCTATAATATAATGTAGGGTTTCTCATTTAAAAAATTCTATGTTTGAGTTACCACGTAGTTATGAAACAGCCTGTATAAATGAAAATATTTTCCAAGTCACTGTTGGCTCCAATTTCTGAATTTAACTTTTTTAGATACGTCTTCATGCAAACATTTTCTGGTTTAGTCCTATACTTGTACTTTAAATAACTTGACTGTGTTACATATATATTAAAAGTAAGAGGGAAAATGATGTAGGACGCTTTTATATGACAATTTATTAATATTGCAGATTATTTTTTCCATAATAACTATGTCTGTTTTAATAACACAATCTTGTCGCGGAAACATGGTTGTCCAATGGCTTCAGTGTTACCATCAATTTTTGCGAAATATGTAATGGATGATTTGCTTGATATTATTATTATTATTGTTTGCTTGGTATTGCCTTTCAACCCATTTTTCATAAAGAAATATGTAGATGACATCATTGTGTGTTTTCCATGTGGACAGTATTGTTGAGGATTCCAATGGTTATGATCCCTATATTCAATTCACGATCGAGAAAGCGAACGAAAGTCAATCTGTTTCTTTTCCGGACTCAAGACTCATCCGTAATAATAATAATGGTTCACTAGTAGACTGGTACAGGAAACCTATGTCTTCAGGAAGGTTTCTTAATTTCAGGTCTTACCATGAACTTGGTATAAACATAAATTTGGCGAAACAAATGAAAACAACATTTTTGTCCAATGTATTTCCACCTCCTCCAATAATATTTTTGACACATCTTCCAATAATAATACCGATGTAACTTTAAATTCCAGATCTGGTTTTACAGGTTTGCTATATATCAAGGACTTAACTCCTAAATTGATCCGCCTTTGTAACTCATTAAATTGTCGAATTGCTTTGTAAACCAGTTGTCACAATTAATAGTGTTTTCTCAAAGATGCTTAGTTCATCACTATTGCCTATTCCATTTATTGTAATAATTGTAATTTGATATACATAGGGCAAACCTCTAGATCCTTAGAAGAGAGAGTAACATTACACAAAAGTGATTCCAGATTGCATCCTGAGAGATATTAGCACCACAAGTCACTTTATGAATGATAACATGGTTCTTGACAGAGAGAAACATTTTTCTAAACGTTTGTTAGAAATGTTTCACATTTTTGTTGACAGTTAATTGTAAGAATAAAAAGGCTGATGTGAAGCAATAATATTAATTCAAATTTGTTGGATTGCGAGAAGTTGGAACGATTATATATTTCACCTATTATCGACAATTCACTATCATAAATTCATTTGAATGAAAACCAACAATTTTGCCTATCTCATCCATTTTTATCTGAATTCCGATTTTCTCAATTTAACCATGTTTATAGAGGGATAATTATTTCATGATATAAGTAATTTTCATAATTGTTTTTGATGTTTGACATTGTGAATTTTCTTCAACATGCCCTTGAATGCCATACCCTATTATGCCTGTTCCATTAGGTTGGTAACCGACTGACGCACACCACACATCTTCCAGCCACTTATCTGTAAACTGTCAGCTAATATAATTTTTTCATGGTTCCGATGCAACATGTTGCGAAGTCACGAAATTGAAAAGTTTTCAACTAAAGTATCATGGATACAGTTTTCATCAGTTTACCGAGTGTTGTCATACACTTTTTTTAAGAACATTTAGCAACAATCTCAGTTACTTTTGTTAAGTGCTTTAAGAATAATTATTTAGCTACTACTTTTCAAATATTTTTGTAGCTCCTGAGGATGATAACATAGTTTATCGAAAGCTTGAGAATAAAGTTTTAAGAATACACTTTGCAATGCTTTGTCTGATTGACTCTGACTGCATCGCCTGTTCTTTCGACTTACTATAATAGTGTGGTTATTAAGCACCCTTGCCAGATGATCCATTCTTAGAGCGGGGAAGAAACTAGCGATAGCGTTATCAAATGGGTGGGGACTATGGAGTAATTAACTGCATGGGCTTGTTTCGCTGACCTAATTCTTATAATTTTTTTTCTGGAGTATCGGCGCCTATATATATTGCTGTATCTTAGTGTAAAATTACATTGCTAGACCTAAATTGTGTGTCGTGCGCGCAACCCCCCCCCCATAGATTTTCCCATCCCCGGCTCTTTAATTATCTTACAAGGCCATTTGCTCTCAAACGTGCAGGGGTACTACTCATGTGCTAAGCATGCAGCCGTCACCCCCTCCCTGCAAATCAAAATTTAAGCGTCACTAATCCTTAGCAGTACTTTCCGAATTATTGAGGGACCAAATATTGGCGGACAGGCATACAGACAGACCGACATTGCAATGAGTAGCATGATTCTTTCTGACATACTATATAGATGAAGAATTTTTTGCTCGACTTTCTCCTGCCTGTAAAAGGAACTAAGTCACCATATCTACAAATCTACATCTTTACTTCAGACTTCCATTCCAGCCGTTTTGCGTTCTCGGTTAACTGTGTATATTGCATCATTTCCAACACGTGTGTACTTATAGGTGTGATAGAAAAGCTGCCTTACCTCAAAGAGCTCGGCATCACAGGCGCATGGCTGTCCCCAATCTTCAAATCTCCAGAAGCTGATCAGGGCTACGATGTATCTGACTACCGTTCCATTAACGAAAGGTTTGGAACTATGGCCGATCTGACGGAGGTTTGTATTATCACTTTTTTGTAATTTGGATAGCAAGAGAATGGTATATTGGGTACCTACACGAACCGATGGTCATACAGGGGGTAATTCCACCTTGAATACGTCTGGCAGAAAATTTATAGCTTCCAAGAATTTTGAATATTTGTGATTCTTTAAAATCCACCCGAAATTGGACGTTTGAGTCTAAAGAATAAAAAACTACGAAACAAACGCTTGAGAATTAAATTGTTGTTCGTAGTTTATACTTATATTAGGCTAATACAATCATAAAAAGTGCACAAACACTACACACAATAAAATAGCGGGTTTTCGAAAGAATAAAAGAAGTTTTGTTTAAATCAACCATGATTGTCTGTCAATCAAACCTCATATGTTTAAAATTCTTTTTTATTATTCCCAAAGGTGACCTTACTTAGTACAATCGCCAATTTTTGACAATATATTTTAAGACTTTATGTCCGTAACATGACGAGATTGCGCGGAGCCATCACTCCAAATTTTAAAATGGCACCACGCAAAAGCAACATAGCACAGGACTTCCTGCGGTAGGCATTTCCTCTCCAAAAAGAAGGTCCAGTCCTCCAGAACGACAAGCGAGCATAATGTTAAAACTACAAAATCGGCGCTAAGCGAACATGTATGGAAAACAGGACAAGGTGTGAAGTGTGAGAGAGTGTCAATACTACACAAAGAGGATAACAATAACAAAATAAAATAAAAAACAAAATAAAATCAAACAACAATTGTTATTCTGTGGGCTGTGACTCAATTTGGTTAGATATCCTTGAAGGAAAGATTTAATTGATAGTTCCGTATTCTAGGTGGGCCTGCACAAAAGCATAGTATCTATACAAGTTCAGTTGTTGTAAGTTGAGAAATCCCTTTAGGATTTCAAATTCTGTGATAAGGTATTGAAGCTTGTACACTAGATTTTTAATTTGTTCATCCCATCTGAAATGCAATTAATATATATATATTCCTAAACATTTTATATATATATATATATATAACTTGAGACGTGGTCATTGTCGTCTAAACCAGTTAGGTGAAAAATTAAAGCTTCCGCCTTTTGTTGGGTACTTCGACAAAATTTAAGCAAAGAGGACTCTTTATACTTTTTTTAATTCTCTCTAGCTTTCAATGGACTTTGCCATACCACTCTCCTGATGATGATGGCCTAAAGCCTAATAAGTAAATGATAAAAGTTTCAAAATGATTGCACTGCTTTAAAGCCCTTTGACCTTTAATAATGTGTGGATGCACCCTGATGTGCTACGCATTCTCCAACGCGCCTAGGCATGCTTCTGATCAGGTGGTCAATGTCCTCCTGTGGTATCTCATTCCAGGCAACCACCAACTCCTCTCGAAGTGCTTCTAGAGTCTGAGGAGGACGTTGCAAATTGAGCAATCTCCTACCCATCATATCCCACACGTGCTCAATTGGGGATAAGTCGGGAGATCTTGGTGGCCATGGTAACAATGTGACATCATTATGTTGAAAGAAGTCTATTGTGACTCTTGCAACATGTGGTCGGGCATTATCTTGTTGGAAAGTTGGATCTGCCAGGGTGTCAAGATAGGGTAAAAGATGGGGTTCTAGAACTTCGTGGATATAACGCTGCGCGTTCATGTTACCTCTGATGAAGATTAAAGGTGACCTGGAACCATAAGCTATAGCACCCCAAACCATAACTCCAACAGTGTGATGAACATGTCTTTCAACAAAAAACTGTGGATTCCTCCTTTCACCACGTCGCCTTCTAACCCTGGCACGACTATCGTGCATGCCTAAACAAAATCGAGACTCGTCACTAAAGACAATACTGTTCCATTCCTGATCCCAGAGTGACCGTTGTCTGCACCACTCAAGGTGATTACGTCGGTGTTCTCGAGTTAAAGGGAGGACCCAGTGTGGCCGGTATGAAAACAAGCCAATACTTCTCATTCGTCGGTAAATACTTCGCATGTCAATAGGTCTTCCGTGTTCTGCAAACCATTCATTTGCAATGGACCTGGTAGTGGAGAAACGGTCCCTTAAGGCCAATAAAATCTTAGGCGGCGATCTTCACGGTCTGTTGTTCTACGGCGGCGTCCAGTGCCCATTGCTCTTTGCGTACGGCCTTCTCGAAGCCATGCCTGTCAACACCTAACCACTTCTTTGCACTCTAACTGCAATTGCCCGAAAAGAAAGTCCAGCTTCCCGAAGTCCCACTATACGGCCCCTATCAAACTTACTAAGTTGACGAAATCTCCGTACTCTAGGCATCGTAACCGATCGTAAAGGATGTCAAGAACCAAAATCCGCCAACGTTGATTCTTTACTGCTGCTGAAATATTCATTTTTAGAGCGTTAGTGAATTAAAAAAAAGCAGTATAAAAACCGGAATGTCCAACTGATAAGGCTGAAAATGTTTTCACTTGTTATTTATAGTAAGATAAATACATTCACCAACTTTTATTAAAATAAAACCATTTAAACTGGGTGTTCGGATTTATATGTCACTTAGTATATTTGTTTCTGGACTCGACGTCACCAAGTCTGTTCTCCATATTGGGGTTTTATAAGAAGGTTCTGTGTGCCTTGATCTTCTGCTGACGAGCAGTTTTGCACGATTTATTAAACCAACCGCTGGACCTTGGTTTGGGCACTTTCACTGTATGAGGGATGCATTCTTCCATCCCAACGTGGATATTTTCGATTATCGACGAACAGTCAGCTAATGTACCCGCGTCAGTGAAACAAACATATGTCCAAGGAAATGTGGAGCAGAAGCCTCTCAGATCCTCCCAGTTGGCCACAACCTCCACAACACCGTGTTCTGAGTTACTCAGGGAGACAGGATAGCAGTGCTGTAAGGGACAGGATGCGTGGTCAGAAAGAGATCCAGCAGGCTACTGGCGTGTGACTAAGCGCGAGAAAAAAAGTAGGGCTCGTCACTAGCTGAGTAATAGCGAGCGCTTCAACTGCATGACCTGCTGCATCGGTCTTGTTTGAGCCCAACCAGAGCTCATTATGGGCATTGAAATCCCCGAGGAGAACTACCTCTGTAGCGGCGGGATGTTCATGAACTCGAGCCTGTCAGCAAGTAGGTCATCCCAGTTATGGTCCGAGGCCGAGCGATAAAGGCCTCGGCCTTGATACATTTAGGGAATGTTTTAGAGTGAGGCGAAGCCACAGAATGTCCTTCCGGTCTGATTCCAAAGAAGCGTCTCTGGACACACTGCTGTGGACAAAAGCTACTGCTCCCCATTCTTTCTCTGATTGGAGTGCATCTCCTAATTTGAGAAGCTACGACAGTTAATCGGTGCAGAATCTGAGACTTTTGTCTGCGCCAAGAAAATCATGGTAGAACGATTCAATTTCAGATAGTGATGAACAGCATCACGTGAAACAAATGTTATCATTGATGTTGTTCCCTCGAGTCCACTCTCCCCCCTGGACATTTCGAGAATGGAGTGAGCTTACGTCCGGAATTCTTAGGACTCGAGAGATCTATCATCATTAATTCCTTTGTTGGGAAGAACCAACTGCGTAGCTTAGGTGTAGAAGCATGCAGACATTCATAAGACTTTGAAAGAAGCTAGCGGGTGGTAACGCCTCGTTCGACAGGTCCTTATCTACCACCGCGAGTAAATGGTGTTAAATAGATCTAAAAGTGGCCCGTTGGCGGACTTGTATCGGAAGAAGTTGTATACTGAATACAACAACTTCCGGAATAATCATTTGCCACGGTCCCGCTCAGTAGAGGAGAGATTTTGGTTATTTAAGCGGTTTTTCTGTTCCGAGTCTAGGCGCAGTTTGCTTATAGTATGGATCTACACAACTACCTGTGTGCCACTCATGAACGGAAGCACCGCATGTGAATGGAGGTTTTTTCATGCTTTTGTTTAACTTGTTTTTCGTATGTATGTTAGTATGTGAGTATTTCTATGGGACAAATCTTGTAACTAGATTTTTACCCAGTTAACCAATTGAGCTGAAATTTTGTACACACATTTGGTTCGCGTGACATTACAAACTGAATTGAATGCCGCCATTCTGAATCCAATATGGTAGCCACCAGAGAAACATAACAAGCAGCATGACGTCATTCTAAATCCAATATGGCGGTCCCCAGAGAAACATAACAAGCAACATGACGTCATTTTAATATGGCGGAAACCGCAAAATAGTAATTTATAATTTCGATGCGCAACCCCCTATACTATGGGTATCAAATCAAAGGGTTTATTGAGACCTCCAGGGAAATGATTTCAACAATCGAGTCACATTTTGCAATTTGATGTCTTATAAATTGAGCACGACCCGACCTTCCTCCCTTCCATATTATACAGGCAACACTTAAGAGCAATGGTTTCGTGGATCGCTACAATATGCATTATTACGCACCAGAAAATCCGCGACGAGTGGACAACCAAAATGTATAGTCCCTAAATGTGTGGATTGGCATCATTGGTGATAAAATTGTTGGACCACTATCATATGAAATTTACAATGTATTTTTATGGAAGGATCTACCTCTTTTACTAGAAAATGTAAATTTAACAACTATATGACAAATTTGAGGTCCCAACATGACGTTGCCCCACCACATTACCATCGAGCGCCCTAATAGATGGATAGGGAGAGGCGGACTGATCAATTGGCCAGCAAGATCTCCCAATCTGATGCTCCTCGACTTCTCTCTCTGGGGCCATGTAAAAGAAGGATTATCAGAAGAAACCTACTCAAATATACGATAAAATATAGGGTGTTCTATTTAAGAAAATATATCTTTGCTATGGCATGAAGCTATGGAACACTCTGCATATATTAAAATAACAGATTTTTCATATCTTTTCCAGTTTGCTTATAGAACTACTTTCCATTTTCGTTGGGGCACCCTATATGTATGTGATTTTTAGTAGGTACTTTGTATTGTGAAATTGTGATGATTGTGGATATCTACTCTACATTCAATTGACATGCCCCATGCTTTGCGTCTTTTCTTAAGAATAAATAAATACTATAGGTATGGGTATATGGGTTTCATAATGCTCATTATCCTCTATTCGAGATACTGAAAACATAAACGAAGCTTATTAAGACTCGGTTGAAACTAATTCACAAAGTGATTTCAAATATTTTCTTTTAACCAGTTAGTGAAAGAAGCTCATAAACTTGGACTGAAAATCATTTTGGATTTCGTTCCCAACCACACAAGTGACCAGCATGACTGGTTCCAGAAGTCTGTGGCAGGTACCGATCGTTACAAGGACTACTACGTTTGGAAAGATGGAAAATACAATAAAACAAATGGAGTTAGACTACCGCCTAACAACTGGGTGAGTTCTTAAAACGTTTTTCTATTTTCTAAGCCAGGTATAAAGACAAGCACCATAATGGAAGAGCATAACTTGTAAACGTCAAAACTATCACGGAGAATCTTTGTGTACATCAATTAGTAGATATCTGTCAAGGAGGTCGGTTCGACGTTTTCCTGTGTATTATAGGTCGGCTTGTTAATCTGCCGATCTGGTCACCCAGAAACCAGAGAAACGGAAAAAACGGAAGAAGGATGACGGAAAAAAAATATATATCAAATATTTTTGATTCACTTATCTTTTAAATAATGATTTTGGAGTTTAGGATTCTTTAAAAAGTGGGTTTTTAAATATAGCCAACCAGCAAAGGGTCGCATTGCGAATCCACCAGCATCACCGCGGCGGGTCTGATAATTGTTTTGCAAAGCTGAACTCTGATAACCAAACCTAAATTTGAGGTTCTGACTTTTATATACTTGTGCTCAAATATCACCATACTCAAAGACATGTAGGGTTAACAGTGGCATATGATGCGTTTCGCACTCTCTTCCATTTTGACACTTGTCGATATATTTTCTTGGGGTTACGGGACCTATTAATCAAGATTTCTAAGGTGTTTGTTATCGTCTGTATTTGGAAATAGGGTAATCATGTAAATATCACAGCATTTAGTCCCCCAGATGCTTTTCTTATGGGCTGGACCATCAGCTAATATCTGGCTACAGCCTTGATAACTATAGCCGAGCCATCATGACCATGTTCCAGTATATGGCCCGACTATGTGTATATAAAGGGTGTCTCATAATTAACGCAAGATTTCCATTTGCCATTTGCAGTAAATTGTAGGTAGCCCTGAAAAAAGAACACTTTGACAGCTGAGAGGTCAGGGTTAGTAAAAATGGAGCGTTATACACAACAACGTGTTTTCATTATTAAACAATATTTTAAAGATGATAGTTCAGCGTTCGCAGAAATTTTTTTACAAAATATGGCCGGAATAGTGTTAGGCGTTAAAATTTTTATGTTGAAGCAGTCCAGTTGGTGAAAACCCATTAACGTCAATTGGACGTCGTGGACTAGAATTGCAAATTTCAAGATCTGTGTCTCTATGCTTAGAAAATTGACATAACACAACAACTGAATCCTAATAACCATGAACAGCGAAGAGAGTTCGTGGAATGGATTTTTCGAGCAAAATCACCCTAAGCAATGAAGCACATTTTCACCGTGATGGCTTTGTTAATCGCCAAAATTGCCGTAATTAGGGTTCTGAGAACCCAAGTGTGATTGTGGAAAAACAAATGTAACCACAACGTGTCACTGTTTGGTGCAATTTCATTGGGCCATACTTTTTGAAAATGAGGCTGGTGAAGCAGTAACTGTTACTGGTGCTCGATACCGGGACAGATAACACAGTTCTTTCTGCCGAAATTGGATGCTATGGATGTATGCAATATGTGGTTTCAACAAGACGGTGCCAATTTCCATGCAGCCAGTGAAATAATTCAATCAGTGCATGAGACATTTTTTGGTCGTGTACTTTCCCGTTTCGGTGATCAGAATTGCCCCCTAGATCGTGTGATTTAATACCATTAGATTTCTCCTTATGGGCTTATTTAAAGTTAAGGGTCTACGACAACAAGCCCAGAAAAATTTCGACAAAAGAATGCGTATGTGCCAGTAAAGCCGTGGAGGCAATTTGTGATATTCCATAGATAACCCTATCTTAAGTACTTTATGATTCAATAAAAAATAACAATCCAAAGACTTAAAACTGTGTTTTCTGATTAATTCAAAACTATCATTAATTTTGGGATACCTCTTATGTCAGCAAACATCAGATCATATAAGCACTTCCATCAGAACATTTACACCACGCAACAGTCTTTTATCGTTGAATTGTTAAGAGCATTAGAAAATGTCTGTATAACGATACCCAGTTCAATGGAAAGCAAATCTTAGGATTGTTTCGAAAATAATAGCCCAGCAAACCTATGTTTGTCATTATAGAATGGACAATCGAAAAATTAAACACGCATTATAATTTTGAACAGGTCAATTAAAATTTTCAGATAACTATGTGACAGCTTACAAGTTTAAAGAAACTCCGATTTCTAAAACAAATCACTTGAATCCATGAAAGTAGTTTAATTTAACCAAAACGCAATCGATTAATTAGGTTTATTAAACCGTTTACTTAGATTGATACACCAATTTATTTAAAATTATTGAACTATTAAAATGAGTTTACTTGCTCCAAGTAAATAAAAACGAGCAATTCGTTCCGGTCACAAAATACAGGGTGCTAGTTTTCTGTATATATGTATAAACTAACATCCTGTACTTTGTGACCAATTGACGGAATCAATCATAAGAAATAGATCTATAATATAATGAATATTACCTGTATACTTTGAGATAGGCCATAATATTTTCTAATTAGTAAAGAGAAACTTTTTGGCGATTTCTAATATTTCTAGTACTCATACGTACCTAAAACGATTTCTTCACTCACCTTAGAAAAAAAAATTAGTAGATTGGATTTATTCTTAGTCGCCGCTTGCAATTCTTGTTCGATTCTCTTAGGTACAATAATATCTAGTTCCTTGTCGGATTTTGCTTGTAATTTGTAATTTCGCCACACTTCGTTAACTAACTTTTGTACATTTTGTACTTTCGTACTTGTATGAGATTTTTTAAAACTTTCAAACAATTTTTGGTATAACTTGAATTTGTCTATGTTAAATGACATTTTATTTAAACATTAAACTTTGGCTAATGGAATCAATGGTAACACAAATGTTAACTTGCTTTACTATGCTTACAATACGTCTACTCGCTACAGTATCCAAACGAAACAATACAGTGATAGAGGAAATTTAGACAAGTGAACACCGCGCGGTAATTCCCCTACTCGGTTCTAAAGCGAGTAGGGGAATTACCGCGCGATGTTCACTAAACGTATGCATTATTTGCGGCAATCCCCGAAAATGCGTTTCGTTTTCAAGCAAAGACAATGTGAGGTTTGCCATTCGTGTAAAAAGGTAAATAACTACCGATGACGTAATCATCTAGACTCCACTACCCCCCATGTCATCCGAAATAAGCAAAGCAAAGACCCCCCCCCGCCCCCCCGCCCATAGTGCTCACGTAATACTTGAACGTCCCCTTACCAAAATATTCATTGTTAATATTTTAAACCTATAACACCCTGCTACATTTTTATTAGTTGTGTTTGATAAGAAAAAACTAAGATTTCAATAGTTGGGCCAACTGAAGTGGGAAGGGGCTCGTAGGTGTAACCACGGTCTCTTTGAAAGCTTTTGGCCAACAACCTTGTGCTACGCAGAAGTTGAAGATGTATGTTAGTGGTTCTCCAATGTGCTCGGAAATGAACTTTATGGTTTCAGCGCGAATTTCATATGTTCCGAGAGATTTTTTTGATTTGAGATCTCTCATGATGTGCTTCATTTCTTTAATATTTGTTGGGAGAACAAATGACTTTAGGAATGTTTTCCTACGTGGACGAAAATTTGGTACTCTATTAATTTTGCTGGCCATTTCTTGTCCTATTACACTGAACACATTATTGAACTCGTTTGCTACTGGTTTTTTATCCGTCTTCATCGTTGTTACATTTTCCATTTTCTTTTTATTTTGAGCTATCGCTCTTACCAATTTCCAAAGAGAAGTTTGGTTTGCTGAGTTGGTTACTATTTGATTTTGATAATAGTCGCGTTTTGCTTTTCTTATTAAGTTTCTTAATTTATTTTTGTAAGTGTTGTATTGTGATCGAAGCTCCGTATTATCTGGGTTATCTTGTTAGCGCTTAAATAGTTTATTTTTAGTGTCTATAGATTTAACGAGGCCTTTTGTGATCCATGGAGCTATTTTTGTGTTTCTGCTTACAATTTTTAAAAAAATGAAGAATCATCTATGGCTCGAGAAATGATGTTTACAAATGCGTTAGTTGCTGAGTCAGGATCATCAGCTAAAAAGATGGCATTCCAGGAAGTGTTTTCCATAGTTGATTTCAATTTATTTAGATTAGTATGTTTTTTGTATCTCGTCTCATTTTTGTTTGATTTTCTATTATGTTGATGAAGTACCATCTGACATCCTATTGCGTAATGATCTGTGATATCAGTTTGTACGATGAATGGTATTATTTGATCCGATATGTCATATTTTGACTTAGAGAATATATGATCAATACATGATCCATTATTATGCTGAACTCGCGTATGATTATTTATTAATGACTGGTAGCCAAACTAGCTTAATGTATTGAGATAATATGTGCAATAGCTTTCATTTTTTCATTTTTCAAAATATCTATATTAATATCTCCAACGATGAAGGATTAATGTAGCATCCCTAGTATTATGATTTTGAAGGAATTCAAACAGATTACTGTTGAACTCATTAGGATCTGTCGAAGGAATCGGTTACCTTCACAGTAAGCTTTATGACTTTATTGTTATTTAACAGTATTATTTCGAATCTGTAATTGTAGTCCGACTTTATGTATACCATGACACCTTCGTTTTGATTGACTGTCCCTTCAATATAAATAAGTTCATATCCCGCAATATTATAAAGCTCACTGTTCGATACAACTCACGTTTCCGTCAGTACACTTGAGCTTATATTAGCTAATAACATTTTGAACTCATCCACGTTTTTGGCAATACTACGGATGTTGTTGTGTAGAATTTTAAAGCTATGAGAGTTCTCATTGATGGATAAAACTAAATTTAAATCTTCACAGCCTGCTAGTGTATTACGTCTGCGTTGTTTCAACCTCAAAATCTCGAATGTATTGATCCATATTTAGATAAAAACAAAAAACTAATTTTTTTTCTTAACGTACTACATAGGGCCACTTTAGGTCTATTAAATATCACTAACACGCAAAAAGAAGGTGGTAGACAAGGACCAGTCGACCGAGGCGGTACCACCCGCTAGCTTTTTACAGGGTGTCTTATAAATGTCCGCATGTTTCCACACCTAAGCTATGCAGTCGATTATCTTCCAAAACAAAGAAATTAATGATGATGGATCCCTCGAGCACTAAGAACTCCGGACGTAAACTCACTCCACTCTCGGAATATCTGGGAGGAGGGTGGGCTCGAGGGAACAACATCGAAGATAAAATTTGTTTTTCGAACATCTACGGGATTAACAGCAACATTGATGCTGTTCATCACTACCTGCAATCCAATCGTCCCGCCGTGCTTTTCTTGGCGGAGACAAAAAT